GATCATCAGATATTGTCACAGATTAACCTTCAGGGTGGATATAGCTCGCTAGCAGCCTCACACCAAGGACCTATCAACATCATCATTTACCCAGAATGCTTTGCGTGTAAATAAAATGGCCCCGTCTGTGTAATATATTTTTAAACTTAGTTTAAAAATTATAAAATCTGAACAGCCTACAGTACTTTTACAGTCTTTATTTTACAGTTCAAATATATGTTTATCAAAGTCTAATGTTACAACAAATCACGGATCCCTTTTAAGTTAAATTTTTGTTGTACAACCTTTTGAGGCAATCACTGGATAATAATAAATAAAGATAAGGAAAATAATAAATTTAATTTAAATGGTGCCTTTCAGGACAGGACAGGGTTAAGAATTTTGAAGATGATGTGAGATTTAACCAGGAGCCAGTGAAGCTGCTGCAAGATGGGAGTGATGTGATTTTAGTAGGAGACAGGCAGCTGAGCTATGAACCATCCATCTGTAGCTTATGAAAAGATTTACGGGGGTGTTGAAAGGTATTGGGTTTAAACACGATACCACCATGGGCCAAAATGTTCGGTGTTGGTCTCACCGTACCACAGAACCTTCTTCCACACAAATGGGGAAAATTGTCATTGTTTATTCTAACCCTTGAATTGATTAGACTAAAAATTGAGAAAAAGGCAGATTTGTATTTTCAGACATGGCTAATAAAATATGTAGCTGTGTATTTTAAAGACTATTTGATTTTTGAGTTTTTTTATGACTCAGTGAAAATTGTTAGAGTTGCTCATTGATGTTCTAAACCAGTGGTTCCCAACACTGGTTCTAAAGTACCCTTATCCAGCATGTTTTACTTGTTTCCCTGCTATTCAGCAGGTCTTCAGAAGATTGTTAATCACTCTTCATTCAAACCAGGTGTGTCAAATAAGGGAAACATCTAAACATGCAGGAAAGGAGTCCTTGAGGACAACGGTTGAGAATCACTGCTTTAACACGTTATCTGATTTATTATTTACAAATAAATGGCAAAGAATCAATGCCTTCCAGAGGCAATACTAAAGAACATTAATCTGAGTCAATATTATATTTTGAAAATGCCTTATCAAGCTCAGAGAAGCTCTAGAAGTGTTGGTCAACATTTAAAGCAGCGATTTTTAGATGTTTCCCTGATTTGACACACCTGGTTTGAATGAATGAGTGATTAACAACCTTCTGAAGACCTGCTGAAGAGCAGGGAGACAAGGAAAACATGCTGGATAGGGGTCCTTGAGGACCAGGGTTGGGAACAACGTTCTAAACAGTTCATACTGTGTAAGAAAGTGAAGTATTTCAAAGTGTTTTAATCAAACTTACCTTCCCACAGGCTCGACAGTGATGCCGTCTTCTGGTGAAAGTGAATCTTTGCTCGCAGTTCATACAGCTGGGTGCTTCAGAGTCTGGCACCCACCTCGGCTGTTTGCTCCCCAGCTCCTCCATTCCTTCCCTCTTCCAGTTCTCTGGCCTGACTGCATCTGCAGGTTGTTCTCCGGGGTAAGGGGGTGGTTCTGACAGTTCCTCAAACCCCACAGAAAAATCCTGCTGATCCTGAATAGCGTTTGCATGGCAGGAATTCCTGAAGTTGGAATGTTCCTCTTTAAGACTCTGGCACACAGTCAAACTGTCTTCATCCTCTGGTGTTGAAGAAGCACCGAGGGTCTGAGTCGGCCTGTTGCCTTCCTCCTCTGCTGGTGAAAGTCTTGTAGTTTGGCAGTGTGGTCGTTTAGGTCGTGCACCTCCATAGGAGGGCTGTTGATCAGGGCTACTATTGTGCTGGGGCTGGAAGGTGTTGCTGGTTAAAAAATAGTTTACTTCAGAGGAGTCCTCATTGCACGGTCTGCTAGAGTCTTGTGATAATGATGAAGCACCAGAGATAAAACCTCCCTCTGCAGACAAAGAAACTGTTCTGTCACTTTCTGGAGAGGCCATTGCTTCCAAGCATTCCTGCCCACCTTGACCGCAGCTCTGTGGCTTCTGCTCCTCTAAAACGTCATCGGACTCTGACAGAGACTCGGGCTGAGTGTCATCTCTATGACTGCAGCAGTAAGAAACGCCGGCACCCTGTTCTGCTTCAGTATGTGCTTGAAGAAAGGCATCCAGCTCCTCGTCGGTAACCAGAAGCTCGGCCTGGTCGCTCTCTGGTAAATACTCAAAGCCAAACTCGGGAAGATCCTCTGGGCTGGTTTCTGAGCAAGTAGACGGGTTTGCAGTAGGTGCAGCAGCAGATTCAAGAGGAAGATGCTGCCCTTCTGGAGACAGTCTGTTCCCTGAAATCTGGTCCGACTCAGCAGAGGTGTGTAAACAGGGTCTGTCCTCCCTGATGGAATCCCTGGGTAAGTCTTTTGATTCCGAAGCTGAAATGGAGTCAGGCTTGGTGCTCTCAGAAACATCTGCCACATGATCACACTGTTCTGAAGTTGTCCCCAAGTCATCTTCTCTGGTTTTTGAACTGACTAGAGCTCCACACATTGAAACAGCTAATGGCAGGCATGACAGGCTGACCGGTTTATCTTCAACGGACTCTGGTACAGACTCATCAGATGCCTTATTTGACTCCTCCTCTTTATTCACAGAAGTCATTTCTTTAATGCTGTCTACATTTTCCACGTCATGGTGGTCTATAGAGCTCTCCACACCCTGGTTTGAGCTGGACGTGTCTTCTCTGTCTCTATCTGCTGACTCAGTGGTTCTTGTTGATGAAAATTCCTCTGTGGGTTCAGAACTTTTCTCCACCGCTGCAGGAAGAATAACATCCAGCAGACTGAGAGCAGCAAAGTATCCACCGCTCTGTTCATCAGAGTTCAAACCTAGTAACTGATCTGACCCTGTAGATGTTTGCTCTCCTGCAGCTCCACTTGTGCTGACCAGGCTCCCCTCTGTGACCACAGGGCTGGTAAAGTCCACGAGCAGAGCCTCCTCTTCTTCCATCTGCTGCTCTGCCACGTCCAGCTCCCTGAAGGCATCGTGGTTGCTGGTCCGGATCAGGATAGCTGAACTCGCATCATTCACGAGGTCACACACCGGCTTTAGAGATCTGTCTGGGCAGGGAGGGGCGGAGTTTTTGGTTGGCCTACAGTCCACAGAAGAGAGAAGGTCCACACCAGTGAGAGGTTGACCTTTGACCTCTCTGTGGTTGTTGGAGCCATCAGAACAGCTGGTTGCAGAGCCATAGTGAAGAGAGTTGAGGTCAGGGAGGCTTTGTGGGGCAGCAGGGGTTTCTGAAGGTAAACACTGGGAGCCTAGAGACGAGAAGGGGTGTGTAGGGGGCTTCAAAAACACTGGCTTGCATTCATGTTCTTCTGCAATCAAAAAAAAAAGTTAAAGTTAATCTACTTCATTAGCAAATAGTCTACCACTGTAACAAAAGTATTCTCTACAAAATAAAATTCACACAAAAAGACAAATTAATTTTTTTCGAGTCTTAGTTCCTTGTTGAAAAGTTGTGAAAATTTTTACACTTTTTACAGGATGTTAGACATCTTTGGTGCAACAATTTAATATGCTACAAAATTAAAGCTTTTATTTTAACAAATCAAAACAAATTGCAGCTCAAACTGCAGAGATGGAACCGACCACCCTCAGAAACTTTACATTTAATGACGTTTTACAATAAGCACAAAACAAGAAAACTAAATGTTTTTACATTCAAACCCAACATACTGTAATTTCCCTTTAAGATCAATAAAGTATTTTTGAATTGAACTGAACTGAACATGCAGACAAAAATATTTTTATTCAAGGCTTTATAAGCTTTTTTTATAAAAATTTTTAATTCAAATTTTATTGAGAAACAACATAATTTGTAAATTCACATAATATAAAAATATTTTACGGATTCCTGTATTAACCCAGACTGTATACAAATTTATGTAATTATTTTCTTTTTTGCCAGTGTTGTTGTTGAAAAGCAAGATGTTAAAACAAAACAAATACACGTCACAACAATACAGAGTAGCTAAAAAACAATGGATGGCAAAATATATGAACAAATTAAGACCTCTGAAAACAGTTGTATACGTTTTTGGAACAAGGTTTATTAGTAAAGAAAACTACTACAAAACCAATTTAACATTCAAATGGAAGCATTGTTTGTGGATTTCTGATTAATGCACATCCTGCTCGGCCTGTGAGTTTTGATGGACCACCCTCTCTTAGCAGTTTTTCTGTTGTGGCACAAAGTTCTAAACGTCTAATGAAAAATATAACTTTGTTGGTGCACCATGATATATTCTTGTTTTAGGATTGTTTTTGAAATCATCCATCCCTGTTTTGTTCTTCTCCACAATTTTTTTCTGATGAATGAGGAAAGTTCCTTTGTCTTCATGCTGTGGTGGTCCTCACTGCTCAGAGGTCTGACACTGGTGATGCTTTTGGGGGCTTTCAGAAAGTTTGTCTTTATAAAATAACACTTAGTACTTACATTGTTACTTACATTGTTATCAGTTTGATCCATAAGTGCCTCTGAGGGTCATTGTGTGTGTGTGTGTGTGTGTGTGTGTGTG